ATTTTCATACACAGAAGGGTGCAAAGATAGCTTCTTTCCCGAAAGGAAGGGGGTGGGTTGCCAATAACTCAGGAGTATTCATATAAAACAATAAAAAACAAAACAAAACAAAACCAAAAGAACCATATTCTACATACAGAACCCACTTGTAGCCTGCCTATCAAATTATCTGCTAAAGAAAGAACTCAGCACAAGGGAGGTCTGGTTGCAGTTCTTGGTGCAGCTTCACCTAGAAATGCAGCTGTGAAGTGCCTTTCCCATGCATTGCCAAGTCCAACTCACTGGGCTTCGTACTCCTCCTTGGTTACCTGTGCACTCTTCTCAATTTAGCCACAGAAACCCCTTGGCTAGAACCACCCTTCTCCCTATTTTATGCAGAGGAAAAGCCACAGACTTTACAGTGGCCTCCAAGGCCCTATCTGACGCATCATTAACTCTCTAATCTCATCTCCTAGGATACTTTGGATCATCCTTGAGTGTGGAAGGAACGGTACCCACTGCTCCCTCTGCCAGAAACGCTCTTCTCCACATTGTCTCAGGCTGTCCTACGCCCTCCTTCAAGTCTCTGCTTCCATGTCACCCTCTTAATGAGCCCTTCCACGCCCAGCCTACTTTAAATCGCAACTCACCTCCCCATTCCCCCAACGCTGCTTTTCTCCCCTATCGCATTGATCAAATTCTACCATTCTTATCTCGTCTTTTGAACTAATCGTCTATCTTCTTTCTCCAAAATGTGAAGCTCTCCCAGGGCAAAGTTTTCTGCTGTTTTATTCACTGATGGCATCACTAGTGCCTAGATGGATGTCTATTACATAGCAGACAATGAACACTGTGGAGTGACAGACAGTATCGTAAGAATGTCTCGTCTTTACCTCTGTCTTCCCACAATCTCTGCATGCATTTGACGTTTATCTTAAAACTCGATCTATATTTGTCGTGCACGTAGAGACCTTTAAATGGAAGGCTTGCTGGGAAGTAGAATGAATATGACCCGTCATTCTTTTCCTACTTCAATAGAAAAATGCTTTTTTTCCCATTGTTTAAATCTGCAGAGTGATAAGAGTTCTTATAATATTAATATTTTAAACTTCATGTTTTCTAGTGGTTATTAAGCCTGACCAGTATAATCCTAGGGTGGCTATAAAGTAACCACTGTAGTTAGTGCCTCTTCCTCTGGTGCTAGTTGACTGTTACATTTACCCTTCACCACACAGCAAACAACCTAGTTCTCAAATTGGTAGAAGTAACAGAGAAATCACTTGGGGCACAAGGACGCTTTCTGGGCATGTTTATAAAAAAAAAAATAACAATTTTTTTTTTTTTTTGGTTTTGTGATACAGACCATGTAGAAGAACTGGCTGCTTCTTTAGTTTGATGGTCAAAAACACTACGTAATATCCATATTGTATGGCTGGAATCAAAATACTGGATGTTTCCAAAACAACATCAAAATAACAGGAGGTCTAGGGTTGCACAAAGAAAATACCAAGTAATTTATCATTAACTTTTTCTTTTTAATATCTGGGTCAGATTTTCACCTGCTCGAATACCTCTGGTTGAAAAAAAAAAAAAAAACACTATTTGGAAAGAGAAAACTGCAGTTACCTGTGGCTGAGTTTGGCTGAGAGAGTAGAGTTTACATTCCATTGTTGGCGGGATCCTTACCCCATGGAATGTCTCAGAGCAGGATTCAGGCCACGAAGAGGTCAGCAGTGCTTTGACCAAACACTACCTCAGCGAATTAAACATTATACATTGACTAAGACATTATAAATTATGCATCACTTACACATTATACATTAGTTTCGAAACTCCCCTTCCCAATCCACACTTGAACGGAGGCATTCACTCCCGTACATAACATCCCAACTAGGCATCCACCCGCCGTGCCATCACTTGTTTGCACGTTCAGGGCCTCCTCTGTGGTGAATGGTGAGCAGGGGTTGTGTGTGAGAAGTGTAATTAACCACAGATCTACCTTGCTATCTATATGCATTGGGGGACATGGAGAGCACAGGGTGAAAACTCAGCCACGCTGTGGATTCAGGGTCTCACACTTGCAGGACCAGCTGATCAAACAGAGGCCCCACTGGATCTGCATCCTTCAAGCTGAAGGACTTCGAGTAAACAGACCAGCAGAATGAGAGCATCTTCCCCTCAGTGAGGCCTGACTCACCTGTGCTGCCTCTTAAACGTACAGACTCCTCAGCCCCACCCACCCCAGCGATTCTGACTCCGCAGGCCTGAGATAGGTCAGGGAATCTGCTTTCGATGACCCCTCGGGACATACAAACGCAGGCCACACTTTGAGAAGCCCATCTTTAAATCTGAACCAAGCTAACAAGAAGCATCGCGCTCAGTAAATCCTTGAAGAACGAAGCTGAATTTCCCTTCGTGCCTTCTAACCCATTTCTTCATAGAGAGACTGTCTCGGCCGCTTATCTTCTGGGTTCTTCTAGCTCAGGAGAAAAACCTTCAGGCAGGCTCACCTCATCCTCACCTACATTTTTGGGGAGAGTGAACTTAAAGGGAGAACAATCACGCAGCAGCCACATGGGCTGTGAGGGGCAAGGACTGTTTCCTCCTCCAGGCGATTTGATGCAAAGCTGATGAAACAACAGCGCTGCCAGTCCAAGCATGGGTGTCAGGACACATAGTGATAACTACACCCAGGTTAGAGACGGAGGGAGGAAAGCCAGAGGCGCCACCGGCCCCCCGCCCTCCCTGCGGCCACTCCCAACCTCTCCTTGGAATGGAGAGGCGGTTCACGCAAGGTGACAGGGATGGCCCTCGAGCCGCTTGGCACGAGCCAGGCTCCACTTAACGAGTGTTCAGAATCACAGTCAGCATGGAGAAATTCACCCTGACCCTGGACGCCTGCCCCTTGGCATCCGCTCACTTACATTTTTACTCAATTACTATTTCTAAGAACAGAGACAAAAAAAAAAAAAAAAAAAATGCAGAGCCCCACTGCTCAGCAGTCTTGAATGGAAGGTCTGGAAGGGTCCGCAGGGTTTCCTCCCAGGAGGGAAGCTGGGTGGGGAGGGAGAGGTTCCCACCTTAGGGAATCTGTGCGTCTGTCTCCCCCATCCTGGCCACACCCTCCGAGACACTCCTGATTTTCCCAGACTCAGGAGGGGCAGGGTAGGTTTCTAGTGTTTTTTCACCAAAGAAATAGGGAAGCTTGTGGGGCGATTAAATGACTGAAAATAATCCCGAGGGAGAAGGCGTGTCTGAGGCCAAGAACTAGGGGAGGCCTCTCCACTTGTTTCCTATGGGAAGAAAACATGAAAAGGAAATGAATCCAAAGTGGTAGGTAAGAGAATTATAAAATGAATGGGATGGGATTCCAAAGGGAAAGCAAAAAGAAGGGCAAAAAAATAAAAAATAAAATAAAAGAAGTTTGGGGTCCATGTGGCGGAGGGCACCAGGGCCAGACCTGAATTCAGATTTGGGCTCTGCCCCTTTTGCTAGGTGACGACCAAGGACAAGGTATTCACCTCTCCAAGACACAGTTTCCGGTGGGGAAAAATGGGGAGGTCGTACTCGCCCTCCCCACCCAGGATGACGTGCCTTAAATACCAGGGACTTAGGGGGTAGTCAACAAATGTTTTCCTTCTCTCATCCCTTTCCCTTGTCTTTTCCAAAAAGCTGGTGAGACCAAAAAAAGAAAAAAAAAAAATCAGACAATTAACTCCTTGGTTTAGACAGTGAAATAAAATACACATTTAGAGATGGAAAACCAAACATGATCTGCCTAAAAAAGGGGAACTTTAAAAGCATGGATCAAGCCATTCACTCTTTCTATTCACATGGCAGCTTCTAGCCACTCTGAGGCCTTCTGTACTAAAATAAATGTATATTCTCAATAGAATCAGTTTTTGTTTTTCTTTCTTTTTTTTTTTTAGGAAAGCCCAGCTTAGGCCACTGTAAATAAACTATTTCATTTCTTGATTCCTAAGAAGCAAGGTTAGGCACGGTAAAGTTCATGGTAGGATAACCCAGTGAGTCAGACATCTATTGGGGTAATAAAAACATTTCTCTTGTCCTTATTTGGGACCTCCACCTGCATTTAGAATCAATATAATTCACGCTTCCTCAGGGCCTCAAAAGTGCAGTGGGAACCAACGCCAGGGTGGCAAGTCCATTTCCTCCCTTCCTGAATGGATCAGGGTACCACCTGGGCCAGAGTTCTTGAGTGTCAGGATCATCTAAGACCTGTTCTGTGCTGTGGTCTCATGGCCCAGCATACAATAAAAGATGGCACTCAGTCAAAGCTGGCTAAATGTATTAATGTTCCAAATCAGAAAGGTGTGAGACCTCCGGCTTCGGTGGCCCCCAACCTAACACGTGGCCCTAGCTCGGAGGAGTCTGCATTTGTTCTGAGGGTCAGGGCGAAGTGGCAAGCTCCCAGGTTCAGTCAACTGAAGCCTTGACCATGACCACCACATTCTCTCATGCAACCCATTAATGGCAACATCAAGGTCACAATGATCAGCACACGTTTCCCACAGGCCTCCCTCTAGAACTTCAAAGGAGAGAAAATCTCCTTCCTCCCTTTCAGTTCAGTACCGGAAACATTAATTGAGCCATTGCTATGTGCCAGAAACAAGAACATAGATTCAAATAAGATACCAAAAAAGGACCCTTGACATTCTGGCCATACCATTCAACCCTCCAGAGAGTATCCTCCCAGGGGGTCAAGAGGTCAATCTGTCAAATCCCTCGTTAACCCCTGGATCACACACATCTCACAGACCCACGATCCATTCTTCCCCATACTGCAATCAAGTCATCATATCACTTCAAAGCATTCATGAGTCTTTCTCATAGAAACTCTGACTACAAAATTGGGGGCACCTGTGTGACTGTCCAGCTACAAGGCTGCACTTCAGAATTCTATTTTGCTTCTGACACGTTCCCCCCAGGAGACACACACTAACGATGGGCCGGCTATCACTACATCAAACGAGGTATATAAAGCAGACGAGTGTACTCACCAAGGTACCCACAGAGCACCTGGGGCTGTCTGTAGCACAAGCTGCCCACTGAGCCAGAGGGTGTTGTAACAACTGGGCAGACAGCTAGGAGTTTTAAAAAGCACAGTCATTAGCTATTTTACTGAGAAGAAGCCTTGTACAGAGCTATACAAAGATTCAACGCAGAAGAGGGACTCAATGAACGTACTTATCATTCCCCCAGAAATAGAAGGTCCCCCCTACTCAGGGCCAGGGGACTAGGCAGGAGGGATCTTTGGGGGATTGTGGATTCTCGCCCCAGATCTTTTGGCATCCCTTAACCAGCAGTCAGGTTCCTGAATTCAGCGTTCCCTTTAACACATTCTAGTGCTAAAATAGCAATGTACAATTTATATACGGAAATGGTAAAATAAATACCTTGACTTACATTAAAGATGAATAAGAAAGGCCTTGACCTCTTTGACAAAAGACAGACTCCCTATTAAGAGTAAAACTCTGATTTTCATTTGGTTGGCCTCGATTTCAGTTTTCTTAAAACCACCTGTCATCATTTCTAACCCGCACATGAAAACTCCTTCTCCAGTGAACAAAAATCCGAGTGTATATTGCTTTGGGGCTGCGTAGCTGCAGTTTAAAAATCTAGGGCTCCTTGGAATGCATTAAAATATCTTCTGTGATAGTTTTGACATCCTGAAATTCTGAACTTTGCTGTTTTAAAAGTAAAGGTAGCAACTAGATCTTGTATATTGCCCATCATATTCTTATAAATGAAAATACACCAAAAAATACCTCCAGCTAAAAACATTGCTGAGTGTTCAAAGGCTATCCTATCTGTGATAGAGTCAATAATAAATATCAGATTTTTGCATGAGAAGATGTAGGTGGACACCCTGCTCTGTCATTAGTTTCCTGGGAATCTCTGGACAAGTGCCTCGATGCACCCAAGCCTCTGCTGCTATAAAATGAAACTGACATCATGCTACCCCTGAGGGTTTTTGAAAGACTGAAACGAGATATTTAAAAGAAACTGAGAAATAAAAGGTGCTCAAGGGATGTAATAATATTAGTTATCTAACTTATTTGATAGATTAACCCCTGACGGCCTTCTAGGTCTGCAAGAATATACCTCTTTCCCAGCTCCTTACACCAAGTTAAAATCCATGCACCTTCCATTCACCTAGGGCATGTCTTCTAGAAGTAGCATGGCCACTATTTATACCTGACTTGAAAACTTCTTTGGACAAAAGACAAAGGCTTTGTGGATTCCCTCCCACCCCATATGCACCCCACCCCCCCCTTTTTTTTTTTTTTGCCAGATTTGTACTTTTATCTCTCAATTTTAAAACAGATAAGGAAGACTTTTTCCATGGCCTGTAACTTACCATCTCCGACATTCAGCCCACTAACAAGATCCCAGGGGCCTATATTCACACTTGTGTGGATTCCACCTTCCAGTCAAAACCCTCTTTAATTGAGATGTGGCATCTGCATGGCCTGAATGGCCTGGAAGACGAAGGCCCAACACCCAGGTCTTGGTAACACGCTGCTATCATGTTGCCACCATATGCTGTTACCAGCTGACATCTGCTCACACATGTTCTCACCAATAAGTAACCATGTTGTTTATTTTTAGAGCCCTCTCCACAGCCTCACAGAGAGAAAATTCCCTCACATCACCCGTCAGCAAAGACAGGAAGCTACAGACTGGGTATAAACTGTTTGTCACAAGATCAGTAAGGCACACAACGTCTTCTCATTCAGATCTGACCTCTAAAAAGAGATGCTGAAAGTTATCTTCAATAAAAATCTCAAGGAACGGAACCAGAGACAGGCAGGGTACGCAAAGCATCGCTTGCTTAGCAATGCTTTCTCTTCAGACTAGGGCCCTGTGCGTTTCTTGGGGGGATTTCACTCCTTTTCCTGGGAAACAGCACCTTCTTCAGGCCAGTGGGTGTTGTGGTGCCAAAGAGGGATGCTTCTATTACCGGAATCAGGATCCCTGAAATCGCCCCAGGTCACCGGGGTCAAACAAAGTCTGTGGGGAAACAAGGCAAGCTAACTGCCATGATTTGTCGTTTCCAACTTGCAGTCCTCAGGTATGCACCTTTGGTTTACTCTCTCTCCGCCATCAAGCTACAGTATTAAAATGCTTTCTTTCCTCCCCTTCCTTTTTCTGTTTGTTTGTTTTGTTGGTTGGTTTGTTTTTAAGCAGGGCCAAAGGACAGGTTGCTCTGGTGCTGGTACAGTGCCTCTGAAGTTAAGCCCATGAACTGGATGGAGAGATAAATGATGCGAATAGGGATGATTTAGGCCAAAGAAAGTAGCTGCTAGTTTTCGTAAAAATCAACTTTCAACATCTATGTGTTTGAAGTGGCACTGCGGTATGCATAAACTTTTTCAGATCAGTAAGGTTTGGCGTCCATGTGAAATGCTTTTTAAAAGATGAAACCCTATGAAAAATCTGAGACGTGAATAGTCCTAGAGAAATAAAAATTTTTAGAATTACCTGGGCCCTCAGTCATGAATAATGGGGTACTCGTATGGCTCACATAAGTCATAAGAGAAAAAAAGTCCTGGAATTAAAATTTTGCATGGGTCATTTACAAAATAACTAAGAAACAATGAAGCTAACTATAAAAGTGTTGGGACTCATTTTTGCCTGTGATGACACAGCTAAGAAATAAAGCAACAAAACCCAAATACACAGTGTTTCCAGAGTGAGTTTCTGAACTACCTGCTTGGGAATCACCTGGCCTTCTTGTCAAGAGGCAGTTATCTGGAGCTCACCTTAAAACTACAGGATAATAATCTTGGGAATTCCCTGGCGGTCCAGTGGTTAGGACTCCGTGCTCTCACCGCCGAGGGCCCGGGTTCAATCCCTGGTCGGGGAACTAAGATCCCGCAGCACAGTGCGGCCAAGAAAAACAAAACAAACAAACAAAAACTACTGAATATTAATCTGGATGGAGGGTAGCAGGCAAAGGTTTGGGAATCCGCACACAGCACTCCAAGTGATTCTTGTGCTTGGTAAAATTCAAGAAGCACTGGTATAGGCCTTTGTGACTTAGAGGTTAGAAAGGCCTTTTACAAAAAGCTCGTCTGACCTCAAAACAACCCAACCAGGTGGATCACAGAGAAACCGTTCTCTCCTAAGAGTTGCCTGTTCTGAGTAACGGTTTTATGTAGCGTGAAAGCGCCTCTCAGTCAGAGAGAAAGCCATTCTTTTTTTTTTTTTTTTTTTTTCGGTACGCGGGCCTCTCACTGTTGTGGCCTCTGCCATTGCGGAGCACAGGCTCCGGACGCGCAGACTCAGCGGCCATGGCTCACAGGCCCAGCCGCTCCGCAGCATGTGGGATCTTCCCGGACCGGGGCACGAACCCGTGTCCCCTGCATCAGCAGGCGGACTCTCAACCACTGCGCCACCAGGGAAGCCCAGAAAGCCATTCTTAACGCAATGATAGCTTAAGCAGAATTAAATGTCATTAAAAATGCTGCAGTGAACTCCCCATCAAAGTAGTCCTGCCCCTCAACCCCTCCCCAGCCCTCCACCCAAACATCCTCCAGGCAAACACCATCTCTCTGATAACAGCAACTCCGGAAGTGGGTACTGTCATTTCCTCCCAGCACTGGATGACAGTGAGTTTCTACCCCACTTAGAGAATTCCCAGCAAATGTTACTGAGAAAGGGCAAACCGTTGATCCCCACTGTCTAATGACTCGGGGTCAGCTTGGCTCAAGACCCTCTTTCTAGAATCCTGATACAATTGCCAAAGAATGAATGAAATTAGACATGACCTTATACACATAGTTTCATTATTGATGGTGATGTTTTCTGACAGTGGAATTCTTCTGAAATATTTCTCTCTACAAGACAAACCAGCACCTGCCACCTAATTCCATGGAGGAGAAAAGCAAAATTTGAGTAGGTGAAACAGCGTTCGCTCAGGAGTGGGTTGGTTCACAGATGTGACCAGTGAAATCTACTAACACACTTAACAACCTAAGGCTTGACACTGCGGGGAGGTACAAATGAATGACTAAGTTACTACTCAGATCAAAATGACTGTGTAATAGACATATCTCAGGGTGAGAACTGCTGCCTTAGAACCTGACGTGACAGCCATAATTCTCCTTTGGTTCTGCCCGGCTACTTCCGGGTAAAAGCTCCTACCTCTGTTTCTCTCTCCTTAACTTCCAGAGCCCCAGATGCTAAGGTGTGAACTTGGATGTAGAAACACTTCCCCAACCGAAAACCCTGACAGACCTCCAAGTGGGCAGTTCCTTTACCAAATCATCCATCTTCTGCAAAGAAATGTCCTCAATCTGTGATTTTCCTTTTTTTATTCTCCTTCTAAAGTTGAATCAGAATAAGTCATCTACCTTTCCCCCCCGCCGCCAGCCCCCATTCTGGCCTTTCTCAGCCAGCAACTGAGTTATAGGAGTTTATTATAAAGCAAGAAGAAACAACTTCAATGGCATGGTCATTAAGTTGTCAAAGCAGAGTGAAAATGAGATTAAGTCAATGGATAGGGAAATAAATGACCCTATAAGAATAAACCCCCCCAGTGGAAGGAATGACAAAGTGACTGCTACCAGTGGTCTAGAGAGAATAATCCCTGATGAATTTGGTCTAAGAAGTGTTCAATTCCCAATACAGAAATGACTCCAAAACTTAAAAATTAAATTTCCCAGAAAATTCCCATTTATGGGCAATAATATATTTTAGCGCTCTTAAAATGCATTAAAAAATATGGTCTTCTCTTTTAGAGAGTGCTTCCCCTGAGATCTGTAAAGACCAGTGGACTTCTGATCGTTTCAATGTCTTTCTCAAAACCGAACTGTGCATTCTCGTTCACAAGCTGAAGTAACAAATAAGGATTCTTAAAACAGCCTGAAGTTATGAGTGAGCAGTTATTTGTGAACTAGCTTGTCAAGACAGATGTGGTATTTGTCAGTGTGGTGTGGGTTAGATAGCAAAAGCCAAATGAACGGAGCGCCAAGGTCAAAGTCACAACATTTTTCTTTTTCTTCCTTGAGACTGGAAAGATGCTACAGCACTTCCTGAAACAAACATCTCCAAAAAAGCAGCCTTACTCTCCAACAGC